AACGTGCACGCAAACATGAGCAACACGGGCCTACAACATTTTCGCCTCCATCGGAAATGCAGCCGGGATCCGAGAGAGACGGTCAGCAGCCGAGTACCTTAGCCTCTAGACCACCGCGGCGGGGCTACGGCGGTTTTGGGCTAGTTAGTACGACAAAGGGACAAGGGGACTCCCTTTGTCGTCGTGCTGTTCTCGCGCGATACTATCATTATTCGCGCACGCTACTAGAGGGGCGGGAAACGAAGAAGCACTTTTGCTTTTTTTTTTCACTCTTTATTTAGTTTGGCTAGGACACTTATAGCGAGTCCACCCGATACAAAGGGTACATTAGCCACATACCTATCTATCTATCCATCTATCTATCTATAGGGACAGTCTTATCACGTTTGGCGTGTCATTTGCTCGAGACGCGCCACAGTGGAGAGCTCCGGAAATTTTTCGCAGTGGGTGTGTGTGTAGGGGGGGGGGGGGGTCTTTAGCGTGCACTTAAATCGAAGCAAGAGGGCCCCTGGCATAATTCGCCTAGGTCGAAAATGCGGCTGCCAGGATTCGATCCCACGACCATCGGGTCGACAGCCGAGCTGAACAAAACCACCGCGGCGGGTAGGAAAGGGAAATGCGGGAGACCCGAGTAGACATATATAAGTGGTTATATCAGAAGAAAAGAAAAGAAAGGTGCCGACCCGTAACTGTCTCTCCTTACGAGGACACCTCAACAGGTCAGCAGAGGAATGGGATATGGGGAATAAAAGATATAGGGAGAAGGAAGGAGGGATAAGAAGAATAGAAGGAAAATAGACGGAGAAGAAGCCGCCAGCCAACGAGAGGAAAAAAGAAGGAGATAGGAAAGTGGGGATACGGTCGAAGCAGTCCAAGGGCGGGGCGCCACAATGCGAGAGCTGCACGGCGTCAGGAGACCGCGGAGGGCGAACCAGTCGGCGGGAGCTACGCTGAAGTCGGAGATCGCGAGGGCACAACCGTCCAGCTTGAAATCCTCCGAGCGAATGCCGAGTAGACAGGAAATCGGCAACGTCTCAACACGAAGTGTGGTAGTTTGGGCTAGTTGGTATGACAGTTATAGCGCTAGAACGCCGACAAAGAGTCCTTGTCTCTTTGTCGTCGTTCTGTTCTCGCGCTATAACTATCGCCTTAAAACGGACATGTCCAGCGTCACGAACGTACTTCCAGCTGTGTGCCCTGCAATGAAGGGAAGTATTTTTCGTCAGGGCCGAGGAAACAGTTCGCCCATCTTACAGATGCAACTTCTTTTTCACGGCAGCCGTAACAGGCACGACCGTAAACAGCGCAAGCCACTCCATCCGAAGTTCGAGCAACTTGCGGCGTAACAAAACTGCGGCAGAGGAAGACACCTTTTGCAGTCAGCTGCATCGATATTCAGGAAGTTATGCTCCTATCACGTAGAGCGGCAACGACGCGCAAGAGTCTTTACTCGCCGTAACGTAGCAGCTAACCTTGGGGAACAAACACCCGTATTCAGAAACGCTCATTCACTTGAACTTGACTTTGAAACTGCCTTCAATGCAGCGCCGTTTTAAACGCGTCTGTGCTGCCTTGGCACCGCCTAAACAAGAAAGGCGAGTTCAAAACGAGTTTGTGCTGCATTGAAGTCGGCGCCAAGGCAAGCGTCGTTGGAGGTTAGGAGAAAAAAAAAACAAAACAAAAAAAGCGCGATCGAGACACGCGGCAGACGTTCACCTTAATTTCATAAGCGTGGCGTTACCTGACGTCGAGCGTTTCTTGGCGGGGTTGACAAGACTCACCTTCACTAAAATCGCCATGAACTTGGAATTCACGTCGCACAGAAGCGAAACCAGGACGTTCAAAAGCGCGGTTAACATTCAGGCAACCGAGCGCGCGTGCCCAGTTGATGATGATGCCCGATGATGATGATGATTAAAGGCCTCCCCTTTGAATCGGGGTGACGGCATGCGCCATCTAGCCTACCTTAATAGTTCGAGTTTAAATTCTGTTCCTCAACTCGGATGTCTTTAATTTTGCCCAGCCGCTACTCTTGGCTGGGATGTTATTTTATCGACTTCTCTGCTTTTCCTCCACCAATACTCCAGCCGCTGCTTAGTAATACCTACTGCTGACCAGTTAATGCTTCCATCAACCGCGAAGCCCAGCGCCTCAGGAAGTGTGACCTTCCCCCCATTTCTATCCGGCTGAATCTTTTGACATTCCATGACTATGTGGTCGATTGTTTCTTTATTTATGCCACATCCAACACATGTCTCATCCTGTGACGAATATTTGCTCCTGTAAGTTAGAGTTCTCAAGCAGCCAGCCCGCGCCTCAAAGAGCAACGCACTACCTTTATTGTTGTCATAAAAGTTCTCTTTCCGGATCTCTTGTTTGCTTGCCTTGTAGATTCCCAGCGATCCCTTCTTTTCCATCCTCTCTTTCCACATGAGCGTCTCTGTTTCCCTCACTTGCTTTTTAACTGGCCCCCTTTGCTTATTTGCCGCGGTCAAGTTATATTTAGTCGCCAGCTTTCGCATCCTCTTCCGCCATTGGGTGTCCACACTTTTCAGGTACAGGTATCTGTGCACTCTGGCTGCCCAGTTCTTCTCATCTAAATGTCTAAGTCGCTCCTCAAACCGTATTTTACTTTGTGCTTCCCTCGCCTCAAATGAAGCCCAACCCATATCGCCTTGTACAGCCTCGTTTGTAGTCTTACTGTGAGCTCCCAGAGCTAACCTGCCGACTGCCTTTTGGTTAACCTCCAGCCCCGACAGGATATCTGACTTTAAGCATAATACGGCATTAGAGAACGTGAGCGCCGGCACCATTACCCCTTTCCAGATGCCTCGTACTACCTCGTACTTATTGTGCCCGTGCGTACGACTCGCACCCCCTCTGGTGGATAGCGTCGGCTGCTGCTACCTCGTCTTTCATGCCGGCAACGGGACGCTTAGTTACGGTAGTCCGCACAAAAACAAACAAAAATACACGTCTGGCCAGTACGCAGCACAATCGCAGCGAACTCTCGAAACGAAGCCGTTGTAAATTCTTTTCGAGGCAACTTCTACAAGCACAGACGGAATCTGCTAGTCCAGCGGCGGCTATCGAACGTTGACTGAAAGCTTTCCGTTCTTGCTTGAATTACGGTACGATGTCTCAGCATACAGTAAGACGAGGTCAAATATCATTACGGCGTCGGTCTTTGCATTATTACCTGTGCAGAGAGCGGCCGGCGGAGCGCTCGAGACGATTACCACAGTACGCTTTGCACTAACGCCGTAAACCAATTCTTCGCGAAGTAGGAAAGCACCCACTATCCCATTATTCGTCCTCGGAGAAGCGAGGTACCCGCTTCACATGTACAAAGCATCTCTTTCATCTCCCCCATCCCTCTCCCATGCGCAGGGTAGCAAACCGGCTGCCTATAGGCTGGTTAACCTCCCTGCCTTTCTTTTCCCTCTATTTTCCTTCCTTCCTTAATGCGCAGTTTGTTGATACTATGGCCGATTTAGATCCCAATATTCTGGCCGAGCTCTATGTGTTGGGGTCTAGGCAACCAACAACTCACCAGTTACGCAATTATCATTGTGTAACTTAATTTTTTACCGCGCTATATTACGTATAAATTAAATTGTTAAAGCGATTTTTTGCACGACATGACACCTGTATAATCCTTGTGCGAAGAAGTTAGAAGCGAGGGCGTGGATCTGCGCCAGGATACCAGACTGTGACGCAGAGGTCCCGGGTTCGAATACATGGTCGATCCCTCCATGGTGGGTTGCGCCAGGTTACAAGGGTCAACCAACCGCCCGATCCTGGATATCTTGTTTTGTTTGTTTGCACATTTCGAACGAAAGCGTACAACTACGTTTAAACAGCGGGGTCAGAACACGCAGGTCAATAAACAAAACGCCCCGTGCCCAGCAACCGCTGCGACAGGAAACAGAAAAAAGGCGTCACAACCCCGTCAACGAAGGATGTTGTTCCATCACCGCCAAAAACACAAAAGGACAGCCGAGTGACTGTTCGCAATACGGCTGGGTGACTGCGGGCTATTTATGTAACACAAGCGAGGCGACTTGTGCTCGGAACGAGGTGTTGTGGGCAGGTAGGCAGGCGAAAAACTTGAAAAGGGTCCGGAGAAAGTTAAAAACTACAGAGGCGAGATCGGGGCCGATATAACACCCTTAAAGAGGAGAGAGCTCGCGAGAGGTTGTTAAAATAAACCCTGCCCGTCCGTACCGCACCGCAGGCGCCAGCGTCAGGCCCGCATATCTTATCAAAATTGCCCCTTTTCAGTCGGTCTTTCCGGTTGACTGCTGGCCGCCAACGGGCTGTCTAAAACAAAACACGTTTTCATTGTCATTTGCCCTAGGTACGAACTGGGAGTGAGAAATCGTGAGCGTCCAACGCGGCCTCAGGGGGGCAATGACCGAAGACATAGCCGAAAAAAACACCAACGAACCCGAAAAAAAAAAAACGCAGGGAAATATTAAAGACAGAACGAACTCGGCGGCATGACTGAGCCTGTGAGTCTCTTTAACGGAGAGTTATCACTCCGAATACTCATTCGCAAAAATTAAGTCCCGTGACTACGTCGGTCACCTAGGGCGGACGAAAAAAAAAAAAACGCCATAAATACAAATTATACAAATATAAAAACAACGAATCACTAGGATGTTCAACAAACTCCACCCTCCACGAACGCGCCTAGTTTTTTGTGAAGCCCGCACCAACGTGACCGACACAAAAGACAGCGACACGCCACGACGGAAAAGTTCTAGACAAAATCATCCGCTACGACACGAACCGATCGCCTGACGACGCGATAGATGTGTTGGCAATAGAGAGGACGAATCGGAAGAAAGTTACAAGAGAGGCGGCCCGGAAACAAGACACATTGTGTGACGACAGCATTAAGCCTATCATAGCACGCTTCGTGCGCGTTTGCCACAAGCCGGCGTTTTTGTCATAGCCGGCGAGAGAAAGGAGACAACGTGTGCCCAACTACGTACCCGGCCTTCGTCGGTGCGTTGCCGTTTCGCGGCGTGACCGTCGTAGCTGGCAATATCGGCCATCATTCCAACGACTTTTTTTTTTCGCGGCGAAGCACGCACACAACCACACGCACAAAGGTATGCACGATGAACTCGGCGGGAACCACGGAGCCTCCGCAACCGACACTTCGCCAAGTAATGGCCACCAACCACCGCCAAGGCAAGGCAAAAGCGCACAGAAACGCGGGGATGCGGCGTAGGTGGCGCGACAAACGCTACGGGCTTTTGCGTTGCTTGTTTTCGTTTTGCCTTTCCTGGTTGCGTGTTAGTGCAGCAACTTTGCTGAGCGCCAAGCATTGACACATTGAAACAGAAGCGCTGTCGTCGCTAACGATTCTTTGAATAATAAGCGCAAGAGCAAGTGATAAAATAGCACGATTGAAAAAAAGACCAAAAAATAAAGTCCACCAACCAAGTACTCTTTGTTCTTATGCTGCCCTTGTTCAAATCGCGCTGTTACAACTTTTTCGCTTAAATTGTGAACGAAAAACTAACTAGCTAAACGAGTGTTGCAACACGCTATGAAAACACAATCATCATGACGCAACTTTTACATAATGTACAAAAAAGGTAGTTATAAAACTAGTGACTTACACCACAATGTCGCTTTTCAGACATAAATAAAGTTGTGTGAAGTATTTTGGGGTACAGTTATACAAAAAATTCACAACTCACTTTGCTTCAACGCCACTGCTTGCAGCGCTACATACTACCTAGCGGACATAACTTTTATTACGATGCATGGTTGAAGTTGTGTTACTTTTCTACTCTTTAAATAAATATTACCGTTTCTTTTACCTTAGACGATCTTGCACCAGTATCTAAAGCTTTTTTTTTTTTTTTCGAACGTCAGTTAAACCACGTCACGCTCACATGGCTTTAATTGCGAATAAATAGAAAAGCTTTTTTTTTTTTCTCGTAAAACGACCTTGAGAAAAACCTGCCTTCACCGGGCGGCGCAGCGATCGCTAATCCAGCCCGACGTGTTTGTGATGGTCGTGAAAAACAGCTGTGCATCGCCCTCCCGCGCGCGCAATATATCACCTTATCCGAAAACTGTACTTACCGATTCCATTGCACGAGTCTCGAGCTGCAAAGCGTAGCTGTGGACTGCGATGTCAGGCCTCCGTTTCCCGTCTTGACTGTGACGCTTCTCGACGACGGAGCCAACGGCGCCACTTCCGCGAGGTTGGTGCTTCTTCGCCAAAACACCCGTGCCGATTTACCAAACTATCGGAGCGTTAGCGCTTTGTAGACGGATGCACCCGTGTATGCTGTCAATAGCTGACATTCAGAGAACGCCTCTTCTTCCTCCTTTCAGTTTTATCTAGGCCTATGCGCGGTGCGATAGTCTTGCGCTTGCGCCTTGAGGTTTTTGTTACCTCTGCTAAAAGAAAGAAAAACAGTTCTTGGTATGTCATGCAGCTCGTAAACGAGCCAGCGTCACGTACCTCGCTTTTTTTTCGAACCGCGGATTACAGAAAGTCTCGAAAAGCGGCGTGGTCTAGCTCAGTTGTCGGGAGGAGCGGTGTTCAGCTTCTCGGATCATGAGATCTGTGATGACTCATCACAGCAAGGCCGTCTTTGTTGACAGGCTCGCCAGATTGCGCAAACCATCAGTGCGGCAGCTTAACTATCAAGATCAACCGTCTTTGCGGTACAGTTTCGCGTGCTTGCACAGCAGTTTAAAAATTTCGGTATCTCTTGAAAAGAGCCCTGAAAGTGTGCCCGTGGCGGGGCAATGGTCCGTTTTCGCGAAACGTTGCGCCATTTTGCGTCATCATCACATTACGGCGCTGTTTTGTGCTTGTTACTGTTTATTTTCTTTGTTCTTTTACCGCGCTCAGTTTAGATGAAATCGGTTTGATGTCGCTGCACCGTTATCTTCTTTTTGTGCAACGTAAGCAGATCTTGTGGAACACTATAGGCGGCACGTAAAGCGAAAGTGGCGCCAAATTTGCAGGTTGGTGTTGAGTGGTAACTTTATAGTGACTTTAAATGTTAGCGCGCTCAAGTTGCCCTGTCTTGCTGCGCAAAGGTTTTCTGTGTCGCAGATATCCGATGTTGTGTGTACAGTGCCAACACAGGCATGGCTTGTTGATGCAGTGTATCATGGGAAATGATTGTCTGTCACGGGCATTGTAGGCTGTAAGTAGTTTTAATGCTGCATCTGCATTACCAGCTCAGTAACTAAGAGTCCTTAGTTCCTTTCTGTGTTAAATATTGCCGGTGTAATTCATTATCTTGCATAGGTATTATTCAAGTTGACCTGACAATATGACCAGCCGTCATATTCCATTTGGTGCCATATTTGCAGGGGACTTGACACCTTTTGTGAGAACAGTAGTCTGAGAGCCTTTTTGTCCTAAAATGTTTACAAACTGAGTAACGATTTCAGAGCACATGCATTATCATCTGGCAGCCCAAGTTAGTGATAATAGGCATCCGCTCTGCTCTTGTGCAAAGGCAGTTCACAAAAGCAGGTCTTAACCAATGATCTCTCAACAAATGAGTCTAAAATTGTGCAGCTTCAGTAGAAACCATTTGTAGAACCCATGCACCTTAGAACTGTGCAAGTGCACTGTAGTGCCTTGAAACTCTAACTCCCGTCTACTCTGTTGTTAAGATTGTATGATCTGTCTCGGTGGTGCTTTTCAGTAATGTTGGGCGTGCATATGCAGGAGATTGCTGATGACAGATCTGGTTACTAAAACACAGAGACTCGTAAACATCAAGGAAGGACTGACTGTTCAGAAAAGGACACCCTTTTCTTTTTCATCCTAGAGTCCCTCCTTGGTGGTTACACATGAATTTTGTATTTCAGTAAGCATGTACCAACGCCTCCTACAAAAATTATGCCTGGAACTGGGAGCCGCAAACGTGCCGCCCTACCCTCGGATTTTACCCCTTCCCCTCGGGTACAAAGGCATACGCCTTTGGCAGTCACATTCGCCCCCTGCGAACACAGCAATGCTCTCACAGTTGCCTCCGAGCAGCTGTGATGTCACGTCGAGAAAGTGATACGGTAATGTCACGTGACAGAGCAGTACAGAGGCGGCGGACGGTCGCAACATGCGGTAGGTGGCATGGCCTTCGAGATTTTGTGCTGGCAGCAAGCTCTCAATTGAAGAGAGAGCCACGTTCCAGGCATAGTTTTTTTAAGCGGCGTTGCATGTACCAACAAGCCCAACAACAAGTTTTGCTTTTTGACGTCTGATGCACTGTAGAGTACAGCTTTTAATGTCATAGATTAATAGTTAAATACCAGACTGGCGTGAAAGGCCTTAAGGCTGTCTGCAAAAAATTAACTTGGCAGCAACAGCATGTACTATAGGTGCAGAGGGAGGCATAGAATGGCATTGTGTAGCAACTGAACTTTTAGCAGCGTAGGTCAGTGAATGTGCATGTCATGCTTATTGACAGCCTAAAAATGTTAGCTTTCAGAAGCTGAACCAGAGCTTGAAATGAATGTCAGCTTTGTTAAAACTTTTAATCGCAGTCTTAGTTGTATTGGGGAGCATGTTAATACAGGTGCTTGTAATAAGCTCGTACAGCGGCCATTAAGCTTCTGGGTTTGTAACATTTATCCAGGTCACAGGGCTGCACTCTCATTTTGATCTCTGTTGGGGATTACAGCGATGATGATGACTTTTCAGAAATTTGTCTTTTGTTCTTGGCTGTAGTAGCCCCCTGCAGTGATGAGTTGCATAACGAGCAAGGTGCCCTTTGAGGATAAAGCAATTTGATTGCGCAATACGCAGATAAGTAGCCATGTCTGGTACTACCAGTGTACAAAGCATTCCTGGGCGCAGCCGCATAAGAATGTCACAACTCTGCATCATGCTAGCATGTGCCAGAGTCTTTTGAGAGCAATACCTGAATGGGTAGCGTTAGAAAGGCTTTCGACAATATAGAGTGTCACTGGCACATTCGTAAACCACGGTTGCTACAATCCTTTTTTGACAATTTTGTGTTGAAGTTCACGTAGGAGAAAGTGTTGACTACGGCATTCACAGTGGCACAGTGTTCATTATAAGGGCAACTAGTGTAGTGAACAGGCATGTTATGGTATCTTCGACTGATCGCCTGTGCCCTCCGGCTCAGAGGGGAACGAATCTGGCTTTGCTCGCACTCTGAGGCAGAGTACAAATGCTTGGACCGAACGTCAAACTCGTTGTTGGAAGAAGACCGAAACGGGAAGGAACCACGTGTCTGCAGCGAAAACTCGTTTTCTAGTAGAAGCAGTGTCGGAGCCGAGCCAAAGCTTCTCGCGCTCTGAAGCAAAATGGCGGACGTGCGGATGAAACAAGCTGTCAACAAGGGAACGATCGGCTGGGTGAAGTCCTGTTCGCAGGCACGGCCTACATCGTCATCACCATCCTATCTTTCGCCGCTGGTCTTCGGTTAGGTTGACAAAGGAGATGGCGTAAACTCAATGCTTAAATGCTGGCAAAACTGCGTGGATACCAGATGACGTGATCATTTGATATGATGCCGCCATAATTACCGCGCTGCTTGTGATCACCTGTCCGAAAGTGTTCGCACAGCTCTGTCGAAAGAGCTTGAAGCAGCTCAGGGCGCTTAATGTGAAAGAAAAGAGATCGAAAGGACCAGCCGAATGCGGGGTGACCACTCCCTTTCAACCAGCCGAACACAATGCCACTCGCAAGAGCGCTCCGAGATGACTAATGAAAAATGGCACAAGGGAGGCAGAATTTCACGGGTATTCTTCAGAGGCTGCACTTAATTGAAACAGGCTACAGGGTTTCCGGCTGGGGCTTAGGCACCTGTGCCATCCCGCGGCAAAAAAAAGAAAGCCGTTGACCACCATCATGTTCTCAGTTTAGGCCGGATAGTCTCAAAGGATGTTGGTGCAATTCTGTGCAACTGAATCGCACCAACACACTTTCTATTGCAGTGTGTTCAAGAACAACAACCCTTTTAATATAAATCTGCTCAGCTGATAATAGGTTCCAACTTGAAGGCCACATTCTTTGGATACCCTTGGTCTTTTGCCAGATAGTGAGACAGCCGAGGGCAAAGTAATGCACTGCATGAAAGGAAGTTCATAAGACACAGCACTGACTGAAGTTACCTTTGCTGTTTAAAAAACTTCCCTCTTTTCTTGCAGCCTGTGTGTCGTTTCTACATGTTGACAAGATTTTGCAGTATATACGGGAGATTACACCCTAGTGCAAGTAACAGACTGCATGTTTACGCTCTTACTTTGAACATCTCTGTTCATCAGTTGTAGTTGCCTTCCACAATGCGAATAGGTTCAATCAGGCATACTGAGGTCATCAAAGACTATTTTTTATTTGGAAGTCTTTGAAAAACGATGCACATTTCGTTACTGTGTGCATCTTGGATACCGACATACATGGAACAGGAACACTCTGTGCAGGACAAACTCCATGGAAGCCGGGAACTTTGGCAGCGAGCGTGAGTCGGCACTGTGGCAGCGCTACCTCCAATGACCCAGCTGGTGCCGACGACTTGCACCCACTCTAGTCAGGGCAGCAAAGCGCCACACCCAGCCACCCGCTCTGCCAGGCCAACTTGTGCCGAACGACTTACATGCAACGGACGAAGTCCTAGGTGACCTTGCACATTATTTATCTTGAAAACAGTGAAGCTTCTTTTGACACATCTGTGGAACACTGGACATTGCTGAAACCAACACTTTGACGAGCAGTCTTGTATTGTTCACAACTGCAACGTTGGTGAAACTATGGTTTTGCAGCCTTAAAGAAGACAAAACTGCTTGCTGAAACATTGGCTCCATTGACAACTCGTGTTTCAAAAATTTATTTTCATACTTTGGGTTCCCGTCTGTTCTTAAAGGACCCCTGACAGTGGAAATTTTGTTTGCGACTTTTTTACAGTAATTTGTAGCTTTGCATCTGGTAATGCCGAAATTATATTGTAAATGCTCTAAGACACTGTATAATTAATGCTGGCAGTGTTAATTCCAAGTAATTTTGGGTCAGTTTGAAACGCCCACTTAAATACCCTAAGAAACTTGCGCCCCAAAGCGGAGCAGCGCCCTGAGACTACGTGCACTAAAGCTTCGGTGACGCTGAAACGCACCGTTTTCTAATAGGGTGACCCGCGGGCGGGGAAAAATAAAATGATGTGGGTGCTCTGAGTGTGTCCCCCTCAGGAAAAAGAAAAGCATTTCGGGTATAAGCAGCCTAAACTACCTTGAGAGCAGCCTGACAGCAGAGCGAAAGGGGTGACAAACAATAGTCCTCGCCGAATGCCAGTCGCACCCGGGTTGGGGTGCGGGCCCTGCAAATGTTCTTGAGCTCTGAAACGTATCAAGAGGAGCTTGTGTCTACGTGAAACCACAGAAAATGTCAATCTTGCATCAATTCTCAGAAGAGCACGCACCCTTACTTTAAAACAAAATTAAAATATTTTCTAGGCAATGCTGGTCACTAATAGTCGGTCATAGGGGGCTTCGCATAGCGAACTATCAAAAAACAAGCAACTCGAGTTTCTGAATTTTCCGTCGGGGGTCCTTTAACGCATCTGTCGCGGCAAGCTTTCTTCAGGTCACGTTTTATGCGCCAAGTGACCCACTGGCGGGCCACTCAGGATATCTACCAGGGGCGTCATGACCCACCGGCGGGTCAGCGGTTGGTCATGGCATCTGACACGAAAAAAAAGTTTCTTCTGATTATTCATAACCTCTCGCACCAAGAATTATACCTTTGCATTCGTGTTTAATGAAGTTATCGCATCGGCAAGCCAATGCGGCCGTAGCCCGTGACCAACTGGTGACTCGCAATGCAGTGAACGTGTTGAATTCGTACCTTATGGGAAGCTTCCTATGTTAGTGATGATCTCGCTCGTGGCTTGAAATGCGACAATGAAAAACGCTTGAAGTAGTGATGCTACGTTACAAATTTGCCTGCCAACAATAATGATCGCTCTAATGGAAGCATTTCAATTGAAATAAGCCAATGTGGTACGAACTGCAGATGGTGAAAATGAGAGTGTAGACATTCATTAGCTCATAGTTTTCTACTTTCAATCCAAGAGCACTGCAGTTAAACCCTCCGAGAGTTACATCAACCGTTTGTGGCGTGAAAGGCCATTAATTTTGTTTTGAAAGTGTCGAAATCCTTTTAAACTACTGTTGCTAGGGTGTTAATGTTGACCGTAAGGCGTTGTCAAAGGACGGCGACAGACGTGCAGAGGCGATATTGCGGAAAACCATTGCCGAGGTGTGCGCATCGGAATCAGTGCGTTAAACGAACTTTGCTTTACAAGGGCGCTTTCAGGTCATCAAAATAGCGTTTTTATAAAGTTTTGTGGCAACGAGCATACATATCGGCTGTTGTTTTAATTTTCAGACTTTTATATTTGTGAAATGTTCAGTGGCGTGCTGCTGATAAATAGCATCCAAATTGAAGCCAACTATTGTTAACCCATAAAAGAAATTTAATTCTTTGTGCTCAGAAAAGCATTCAAAAGGTGACAACTACTAGTATGTCAGTTATCCTGGAGTGGTGCCTGCCTAGCCTAAAGGCAGAATGAATGCATTTCTTTTCTCTTCACCGTATTGTCTTCCTTCTCTCCGAAAATGCATTGCACGTATCTAATAATGCCACAATACTCAATCTACAAAGAATGCATGCTACTATTTTTTTTTGCTTTCTATTTGGTTCTTTTCTGGCTGCCACTTTTTTTCTCCTGATTGCATGATGGTGTGTTTCAGGCCAGAGATTGTCAGCACGACTCTTGCTCCGCACCCATTTCCTCAGAGTGAAGGGTACGTTCTCGGTACGTCCAGCGTGGACCTCCACAAACACCTCCGGGCACCGCCTAACGGTCTTTCCATCACATTTTTCATTATTCATTGCAGTTGCAGAAAAAGCTGGTAGCTCACTCTATGGCATGGCATATCTGCGTGTGGGCATTATTGGCACATCTTAGGGCTCGTGCAGACATCCTCACAAAGACTTGCCCTCATTGATAATGCACCATACTCGGACCGTTTCATATTCAGTGGATAAATGTTAGGTATTTTTATCTTCTAGCAATCAAGCTGTGTGAAATAAAAAGCAGGTAGGATAGCTGTGAAACAAATTTTTATCTGAAGTTACCGTGCACTTCTCTGGTGTGTCTGTTTAAAATCGGACGTATTGCAAGCACGTGCAAAGAACAGTTGCAGCCAACAGTGGAATAGTAAAATGTGGTGTTTGTCCTGTCAATCGCTTGTGAAATATTGCACGTACTGCTTGTAGTTCGGAGAGAAACGATCTGGTAGTGCTGCCTTAAGAGAGTGTGCTTGTCGAGCTGTATATTTGTTTTTCTCTTGTACTCTTTACTAGTACACAGTCAGTTGCTGACACTGCGTTAGTGAAGTACGTAGGACCAGGTTTGTGCGCGAGTGAGAACTTTTTGAAATAGAAGTAAACGAGGACATTTACACTTACCTTTCACTGTAAGCCTGTCATTTACATTAGCTTTGCATATTTCTGATGATCTCTTGTTATGTGGACATTTATTTCACTGCACAGTTTAAATAATGTGTGCTAGGGGGACTGTATTGCTTGGTGAGCATGCTTGCGCATCTTGCATGTCTAATCGCACTGACTCGCTCTGACATCATTAACACAGAGACTGTTTTAGTCGTTTTATGTTGCATCAACTGTTCAGCCAGCTAAACTGAAACCTCATTATTACAAAATTGTATTTCGCATTAAAATAAGTTTGTTATATCCAAAAATTTGTTATAAAGGTATTTTCTCAATACTATGTTTATTGGAAGACTATTCTTCATTTACTTTATCACCGATATTTTGTCATGTTAGGGTCCATATATCGCTTTAAGCATACTTCTTTCAGCGGTGATAAGAATGGAACTGAGACTTTCAGAGAACTGCCTGCAAGGTGTGTGTGTGTGTTTTGTTGTGTGTGTATTGTTATCGTGGATGTGTTTGTGCATGTGTTGTTTTCATCAACCTGTGCGAAGGAGCCTCTCAATAGCTCGTGATCTCTGTCTTTTTTTTTTTCTTTCTTTCATCTGGCATTTTTCTTGCAGCGCGTTGTACTTCTGCCTCGACTGTGACACGAACCAATGTGAGGGCTGTGAGCTAGTGCTCCACGAACAGTCCCGTTTCCGTGACCACCGGCCTCGCGTTGCGGTGGTCAAGCCCGAACCTCATCTGCTGTGCGAGGGCTTCAGTTGCCGCGGCGAGAACCTCGCTGACATTCGCTGCCACACTTGCGAGCGCAGCCTTTGCTACGCCTGCGACTACCAGATACACCTGCTGCGCCGCAGGTTTGCCCACGTCAAGGTGTGTTGCTTTCTCTGTTTCTCAGAGAAAATTCGCAGAGGATGTGCAGTTGAACCTTGTTAATTAAAACTTCAAGCGAACAGCACATGTGGCCACATGGGTAGTGTGTGAGGTGTTTCCCTAGATTCTTGCCGAGAAAAGCATAGACCACGAAATCTGTATTTGTTTTCTTAAAGGGATACTGAACAAAAATTAGAAGAACTGATAAGACTTGGAAATTTTACACTGGAGATGTGACTGTTCTGATCAACAGAAATAATTTCCGGTATTTTTGAACAATTAGTTGGCTGCATTTTAGATGGATTATCAGTGCATGGCAGCTGCACACGAGCCGTGATGTCACAATTGCTGAGGAGCATGCAGGATGCACATGTCCCGGCCCTCCTTTTCGTGTTCACTTTCCCCCTTCCGCAGAGGCCCTGATTCTTTACCCAAGCCGGGAGCATTGTCCGTTGCCGGTGCTGTTCATATCGGTTCTGGGAACCGAAGGGGAGAGTTGAGCAAGTCGATAGATGCAGGTGACGGCTGGCATTGTTGGCTTGCCTGCTTCAGGCGTTTATGACGTCGCCAAACGCCACCTCCTATAGTTCAGGGCGCGGCTGCTAGACACTGCAGTTTGTGACAAACACATTAAATTCACTGTTTTTCTGTAGTTTCCATCTGGAATAAAGGTTGTCTCCATCGATTTCATGACCCAGTTTTTCAATTTTGTAAAAAATCTTGGCAGCAAAAATTTTGTTCAGTATCCCTTTAAAGAGGCTGACAGCAGGCTCAGGAGAGTGGTTTTCGCTGCTGCACAATTTCATAATAGATTAAGTTGTGTGGGGTCCTTCGCCTGATGCCAACAATGAACTGTGGTCGCGAGAGCGGTGATCACTTTTCTACAAGCCACTTTACTGACTGCATGGCTATAGCGTTGCGCCAACTTCACGGGACTGTAAGTAGTACTTGGTTTCCTAACTTGCTGTCGCCATTTATTACATTTTTCTCGTTCCTCTCCCACAGTGTAGGAGTGCAGGCTAAAGCATGCTCAGACCGACCTTTCTGTAAACCTCTCTCTCTCTCTGACAGGCGGCCAGAATTTGTCACAGCATATAATGACAGAATCGAGCATCGTTTTAGTGATCTGAATCAGATATCTATTTTTTAGTTGTGTGTAAGTCGCAAAGATTGGCATGTGAAGTGGTTTATTTTTGTTTTCTTATCGCCCCTCCCCTCTACAATGCTGTAAATAGAGCGTAAAACAATAATTGCACATTTGCCAAAAACAACTAAAATGCAAGAGACATCTTCTTTATTCTTCTCAGTTGATTGAGTAAATCCGGCCTCCAAGCTCTCCAGACTGAACATTGTTTTGCAATGTCAGTCATCGTGCGCCCCTTTGACATAGCAACAATGTCATGCGGTAGTGTCATAGTGATGTCACGATGACATTACAAATTTTGGTGACGATCACGGCGATTTTTTTTGCACAACTCTTCTTGGCACGCTGCTGACGGTGACTTTTCACATTCGGTAAGGCATATAAAGATTCCCCTTTATACATCGATCATTTCTTGTTCACTGCTCGGCAGGTTCGCTTCCGCTACTACCTCGAGCGACAGGCGAAGTTGTCCACAGCAGAGGTGGCGGTCAACGAAGACGACGAAGAGCAGTACCTGTCTGCTGAGCCTTATTGCAGTTTGCCCTATGAGGACAGCGGCACAGCCATGATGGAGCCGACGTCTCACGAGCCAGACGTGATCAGCGACACCCGCGGTGGGTGCAAGCCGCAAACGACGCGCTCCAGCATTCTGCTTGTTGATGACAAGGAGGTGCTCCAGGTAAGGCCCTGGCCGTGTCTTTGTGCTCGGACAGAGTTTTTTCAGTCAAAGCTGTTATTACATCACAGCAAAGGGTCGTGTGCGTCGTAGTTTTTCACCGCCGCCGTTGTCCCTAACTCCTATCACGCAAAAATAGAAAAAAACTACGTCATTAAGAAAAAAACGCCACCAACACAATGGGATTTGAACCCAGTTCTGCTGCATGCCAGCCCAGTATTCTGCCAGAGCCACACAAATGCTTGAATCTTCGTTGCAAACTGTCGTTAGGCAGGCTTGATGTCAGAATTGCAGTAATATGAGTAATTAAGCATTTCAGAATGGCAAAGGAACAACCAGGCATCACACAACGTGAATTGCGTAACAAGTGGGAAGTCGAATGCTCCAAACCATTTCAAAGCCATCAGGTATAAATCTTTGTCATCCATATCATCGAAAAATTGCTCAAGATGTTTTGCAATTGTTTAGGGGGTACCACACTTTTTCGAAGGATGGCATAGTGAATTCCTTCCTACTACCCAAAAATTATGATGATTAATTAATGGCGCATTGGTTACCGTGCAAGCGTGCTTGGAGCGGTCACCCAAATAGTGTTTAGAAAAGGGCTCTGTAAGGCCGCTCTTCCAGCTTTCGCTGTGACTGTGCTGTGTGTTCCACACTGGCCTGGTAGTTTTTTTATTGAACTGGAAATCTTGGTGCTAGAACTTTTATTGTTATCATCAGTAAGATCCTATAAAATATTGGGCACTCGCCCTGCTGAATTATAACTGGATGGCCGGCCGTGTATTTCTCAGCCAAATCTACTCCACCTTGCAGGCTGGTTGTTCAAAGGCACATCCTTCATACCAAGTGGTTCTTTTACCAGAGTAAACAGTATTAGAGAACTTCTATGCTGCTTTTCCCAGGCATGACGAAATGTGGCAGTTTTCTTTAGGGAGACTATTAAAAATCAAATGCAGTAAGAGTGTAACCTATTAAAGATGTTCAAATATTCGAGATCTGTAGATTTTTTTCGAAGTGTTTGCTAATAATTTGATTCACACTGGAATTTTTACTATTCGAACTGTTCGAACTTCCCAAAGACAAATACAAATAACGTCCAAGTGACAGTGGTCCCTTCAGATTTTTAATATGCTTCACCCCATCACACACTCGTGTTTGGGCAAAGGTGTCTTTCAGTCTCTGCTACGATTTGAAGTGTATTGACGTGAGAAAACGCTGGTTCCAACGTGTAAATGATAGATGTTGCGGAAGTGGGCATTCAGTTTATGTTGTTTGGAACTTGAAATATGGGAGCTTCGAAAAATCGGACGCCGAAGATTCCTGGCATTGAAAATTTCAGATGTTCTTGTATGTTGACATCTACGAGGCAGATTTGAAACTCGAACAGACTTGAAAGATGCTGACCCTTGTCCATCACATCATTTGGGCTTCCACAGAAATTCAAAGAAAAGGAGAGGCTGAGAAAATAGTGTCGTTGCCTTCCACGTGTAAAGTGTTGTCAGCAACACTTTGGTTGCACCAAATCGTGCATAAATGCAATTTGGCCTCTGCATTGTGTCATTCTTAATAAAAAAAAAGTATGAAACACCACCCTGCCGACATTTCATCTACCTGGTCAAAAGGCACACTTTCCTCTCCGATGTATTTTTTTGAAATTTTATTTGATGTATTCGAAAAATATTCTATAATTATTCGATTAGATTCGCGCTCACATTTCAATATTCAAATTTGTTTTTCACTCGAAACTTCGCTATTCGCACAGCCCTGCTAACTGTATTTGTTCTGTCTTAAAAAAAATTTTACTATATATTTGTACAATTCAGATACTTGTCCAACAGGTTGATGTTCGTTTAATTAGCCTTTTTTATTACCCTTGAAGAAAATGTTTCGTTATATGGTTTGCTGTGTTACTATATTCAGATGTTCAGATGTGTAATATGTTGTGCGTACTATATTCAGATGCATCAGTCTGATCTATTTTCTTGCTATGAAGCTGCATTTTATATGAGGTGGCTACGTTTGCCTGCAGCTCCTAATTGCAGCTTTTATTGCCTGGCCAGCTTCACAGGCTTGTTGCAAGTAAACTTAATTCAGTTCGATTCGGCCATACGATTTGACTCGCTGTATGTATGACCGCACGCCACCCATGCAGGTGTCGACGGCCGCAGAGCTTGCCTCCCAGCTGGGCTGCAGCTCCGACACGCCCGCCAAGGTGGTCTCCATTTTCGGTAATACGGGCGAAGGCAAGTCACACACCCTGAACCACACCTTCTACGACGGGCAGAGGGTTTTCCAGACATCGCCGCAGCAGGAGTCGTGCACCATCGGTGTCTGGGCGGCGCACTGTCCTGAGCATGGCTTGCTCACCATCGACACCGAGGGGCTGCTGGGGGTGGCCGAGAACCAGAACCAGCGCACCAGACTTCTCCTCAAGGTGAACTTGCGATAGAATGGCGGTCGTGTCGAATCAAACTCGACAAGAGTCGATGTTTCACCTTGCTGCAAAAGCGTTGTAAGCAACCTAAATGCTGGAAAAGATTGAATATATAAAAGTTCACACCACAAGTGTTATTGCACTGTGTCCATCTATGTCGTTTTATTGTAGCTGCCATCATTCTTTGGGGGATGCAGTCGATATCATATTTACTCGCGTAATCCTTGCACAATTCTCACCCCTGACATCGCCCGACAAAAATACGATTCCTTTTTTTCCTCGAGTAATTATTGCACCTCCGAAAATTGCTCAATAATGTCGTCTGCTCGTTCCAGCCATTGATAATGATAGCGTGCACCATCTGGCGCCATCTCTTAAGCATCAAGCATACTATTATTCCACCGAAATTCAATCCAAGCCAAAGTGGCAAGTGCACGTTGCCGGGTGATTTGTATTTTGTATCCGTAATCTTGTTGCGTTATGGGGCGATACGGAAGCTACACGGCTGCTTTCAAGTCGAAAGTGATTGATCATGCACTAAACAACGGCAACAGGGTCGCCGGTAGGCCCTTCGGAGTGGATGAGTTTTGTGTTCGCTACTGGTGACGGCATCTGAAAGCCACCAAGACGTGTTGGGCCTTCCGTGTGCCTAAGACGGGAATTGATAGTAAACTTTATTTCTTCAGAAGGTAACTGCGGACGATTCTGTTAAATGGTCACCAGCCCACAAGCTTTGCCCACAAGCCCACAAGCTTTGCGTACGGTATTCGAATTCTTGACTATTTGATTGCACCTTTTGTGTCTCAAATAAATCTTTCCTTGTATTGAACCTGTGCTTTTGTTGTTCTGGCATGAGAATCCCAACTTGCAGCCACTTCGTTTTCTTTTTCGTTCTGTACGTTTTTGTGGAACGTTTTCCCCGCGTAATTCTTGCACCCCCCAACTTTGCATCAGTTTTCCGCCCAGAAAAATGTGAGGATTATGCGATTAAATACGGTAGCAGTACGGTAGCAGTACGAAGGACAGAGCGACTTCCAACAGTTTCTTTGTAATGGCTTGCCGGCCGTGCTGTTGTAGTGGTTGTGATGCTTGACATTTGACCCGGTGGTGATGGGGTCGAACCCGGCTGCAGCTGCCACATTTTGATGTGTAGGCAAAGTGCTAGAAACCCATCTACTCAGGTTTAGGTGCAGGTTAAGGGGAGATGCGCGTCGAAAAATCGCGTTTTTCGCGGAATTTTTCAGTTTTGAGATTTTACCTGTAAAATTATCTTTGTTTATTCAGCTACAACTCCGCAAAAGATCAAGGCAAAATTCGAACAAGAAGTTAGTAAAAATTCTATTTTATTCAGCCACGGTGGCTCGAGAAAGTGCTAGTTTCGTCGCGAATCAGCAACTTTCGATCGTCTCCATCTCGAGAATGCGGCGTCTCCCGCCATTGCTGTTTGCTTGGAGAGGTTGAGAAAGCCTTCGTTTAGCCTACAGCACCTCCCTCAGTTTCGCATTTTGGCCCAAAATAATAAAAAAAGGCACGTTTTGGCGCCTGTTCAAGCGTTTCTACTGGACATTTAAATCACGTGGTGCTCTAGCGAGGCCGCCATTGGCCTACACGGAGACGTTGCTGCGGCGAAGCACCGAAGCCTGCATCCGTCCTCGACTGTGTACGGCGACTCGATCGAACTCTGTGGCCCTTTTCCTGCGTTTTTTCAGTTATTTCGTAATGAACGAACCGAAAAAGCGCGATTTTCGAGCTCGGAAGGCTCGGGCGAAGATCCCGCACCGAGTGCGGCGTCGCAAACCTCTACGGAAAGTGACAGCGGGAAGCAGCCGCCCGACGCCTCCGGCTAGCCCTAACCAGCACAACGGCCACTCGGACGAAATCGACGCCGCGCTGAACTTTGTGAGCGCTTCGGAGGTGAAGATTGGACTCTTCGAGAACGATAGAGCAGCAAGCGATCGGAACTCTGCGTGTGCTGTGATATGCGATATCAGTGCGCTTACGGTGCTGATAAGTGGAGCTGCTTGCCCTGCGTGCCACACCTGTACCCTCGCGGTACGTGAACCGGTCGAAAAACGGAAGGGTCTCTCGGCGTTTCTGGAGTTGCATTGTGCGAACAGTGAGTGCCCTGAATCGGTACTTTCTTCTGTGCACACCTCGAGCCGTGTTGTACCTGGTGAGCTTGCGAACGGTGCTAGCGGAAGCCGGGAATATCGGAGTGGGAGCTCCCGCGACAGCTTCGCCGTGAACGTCAAGGCAGTGGTAGCTGCGCGCGCGATTGGCATCGGGCACGAACAGCTTTCACGTTTTTGCGCCATTCTTGGCTTGCCGACGCCGTTACATCACAAGAACTTTATTGCGATCGGCAAGAAAGTTCATGCTGCGGCCATGAAAGCCGTGGAGGAAAACATGGAGAAAGCGAGAGTTCACACGAAAGAGATGGTCGGCAGCAGTGATGTTGCCGTGATGTTTGATGGTACGTGGCAAAAGCGGGGCCACAAGAGCCATAACGGCGTTGGCACAGCTGTGTCTGTAGACACTGGCTTGTGCCTCGATTTTGAGGTTCTCTCAAACTTCTGCCTTGCGTGCAGCCGGCACAAAGACATTGGGAGCGAAGAGCAAGTGTGGCAGGCTGTGGGGGTGCTGACACCCCCCCCCCCCCTGTAAAGTTGTCTGCGCCGCGTGGCGCACGTGTCTCGCCCCAAGGCTTTATTGCGGTGGTGACCACCGCCGGGCGATAGATGGCGTTGTGTTTGCTTTCAGTACCACTGTTGGTAGAGTGGTAGCGCCGGCGGTGGCCCCTGGCGGAAGGCAGGCCTTGGCGGTGGGCGAGCGTTGAGCGGGTCTCTTCTGCGCGTGCCGGCTGCCGCGAACGGTTGTCTGTCGCGTGGGCCCCCGGTGCTCGGCACCGCGGGCTTCGCGCCGGGGTCCCACGTGGAAGGTCAGGCGTTGGCGACGCCGCCTTGGGTATGTGCTAGTGTGTTGGGTGTTAGTGTGTGTTTATCATGTTATTGTGTGTTTAGTGTTTCACTGTGTTATGTTGTTTGTATGGTAGCGTGTTAGTTGAAATGGGTGTATCATTCGGCAGACGATATCGTCGTCTAAATTAGTTAATAAATGTATGTATAGGGGGTGCGTGGTACTGACCGCGTCTGCTGTGTCCGTTCACTCCAAGATCGTGGCGTGGCGGTGCGCGCGTTCGCCTCGCCGAGACCCCACACTGGCTGCCCAACGTGGAGCTCTTGGAGTATCGGACGACAGTTTTTGCGGTTCGGTACAGGGATTTTGTTAGAGCCGGAGTAGAGTAGGCCTAGGGGGGACTCCTTTGCTAGCGTTGGTGGTGTGCTTTGTTGAGAAGCGAGGGGATTGGTTTTGTAACGTGTTTCAATTTGTCGGCAGGTTGGCTTTCTTTTTTTTTGCTCGCAAGTGTTCTTATCTTTTTGTTGTTAGTTTTCAAAAACGTTGTTGAATTAGGACGAGAGCCATGCGGTCCGCATCCTGGGGTGAGCAAGGCCTAGAGCACGTGGTTTGTAGGCCAGGCCCGAAGCGAGTGAGTACGGAAGCCTCGTGGGTGGTCCCATTTTCTGTAAATAGCTTCTTCTATATCTTTGGGCTCAGGGAGCCGGGCGTCGTTGCTGACTTGTATTGCGGCTCGACGCCGGGGCGTCGTGACACCGCCCGGGGCGGTGGACGCCGATCGCTCGGTAAGCTGCTGTGTGCGGCGAGCGATAGGGCCACCTCACAGAGTGGACGTCTCCTCGCGGCTGCCTCTTCTGCGCCTAGGCTGGGTGCTGGGTGGATGCCGGTTGTTGCCGAGCGACTCATTAGGCCTAAGGCTCTGCGCAGCCGCCTGTCGCACGTGGCACAACTAGGTGGATCGTAGCGTTGAGGTGTTGCGCTCTGCTTCCCTCACTTTTTTTTATCTTGCGATGGCAAGGGTTAGGAAAAGCGATTTTCGTTTTATTTTGATGGGCGTCTCGGCCGCCACCGATGTATTAGCTAGCAGTACTGACCACCGTACCACGTGGCCGAAAAGCCTGAAGCTCCCTCTTCTGGGCCGCGCTCCTTTGTTTCTTTCGAGTTTTGTTTTTTGTCGATGTATTCAGCGGGAGGGATGTCATCCACGGCCGGCTGTCCTGCACATCGTCAGCGTCACTGGCCAGGAATGCGGTCGTGAGGTCGGGCGATGGAGATGCCTGGGACCTGCGCAACTGCCTGCAGTCCGGCGCCCTCGCGAGTGCTGGTCGCAACTGGAAGACGTGTCGGTGCTAGCGACGGATCGTCGCGCCGACGGCAACGTTGCTGTTGCGGGGCCGGTACTGAGTTGAAGCCTAGCCGGACAGTGCAGCAGTGTCGACCAGCGGCGGTGTCGTGGTGCAAGGACATTATGGTCGTGCGATATCACTTTTTTGTTAAAGCTTGTGTAGCTAATTTTCGATTTTGGGATATGGTTTGATTTAAGGTTGGGGGAATGTGGGGGTGCTGACACCCCCCCCCCCCCTGTAAAGTTGTCTGCGCCGCGTGGCGCACGTGTCTCGCCCCAAGGCTTTATTGCGGTGGTGACCACCGCCGGGCGATAGATGGCGTTGTGTTTGCTTTCAGTACCACTGTTGGTAGAGTGGTAGCGCCGGCGGTGGCCCCTGGCGGAAGGCAGGCCTTGGCGGTGGGCGAGCGTTGAGCGGGTCTCTTCTGCGCGTGCCGGCTGCCGCGAACGGTTGTCTGTCGCGTGGGCCCCCGGTGCTCGGCACCGCGGGCTTCGCGCCGGGGTCCCACGTGGAAGGTCAGGCGTTGGCGACGCCGCCTTGGGTATGTGCTAGTGTGTTGGGTGTTAGTGTGTGTTTATCATGTTATTGTGTGTTTAGTGTTTCACTGTGTTATGTTGTTTGTATGGTAGCGTGTTAGTTGAAATGGGTGTATCATTCGGCAGACGATATCGTCGTCTAAATTGGTTAATAAATATGTATGTGGTGTGCTTGGTACCGATCGTGTCAACTGTGTCCGTC